TTAACCAGACCCCCACCCTGTACCTGTGAGTTTGTTTGGAAATTGAATCTTTACAGATGTTCTCAGGGAGCCCTGGTGGCACAAACATTAGATGCTCTGCTGCTAATCAAAAGATCAGTAGTCCAAATCCACCCGTTGGTACCACAGAAGTAAGACCTGGCAACCTTCTTTGAAGATTACAGTGCAGGAAATGAACAAGTCTTTTTGAAGGCAGTGCTTACCACGGTGTTTCGTAGAGGCAACGATGGTGAAACTTCATCTCACGTAGTTCGGGCATGTTGACAGGAAAGGGCAATACTTGGAAAAGGACATTATGCTAGGGAAAATAGAAGGTCAGAGAAAGAGAGGAAGACCCTCAACAAAGGGTAACAGATCTGTCCTGGGTTGACGTGCAGCCAGAATGCTCCTTAAAGAGAGAACTTCATCTCATGTACTTGGGACGTGTTATCAGGAGGGGCCAGTACCTGGGGTAAGACATCACGCTGGGTATCATGACGTTCATATGTGGCACACAGTTAAGGCGATTGACTGTTAACTGAAGATTGGAAAGTTCAAATCCACCCTGTGCAAAAGGGAGAAAGATTCTAATGTGTTCTGTAAAAGTAAAGGGGGGTGGGGTGGTGCAGAGGAAGACCCTCAGAGAGATGGATTGATGCAAAGGTGAAATGACCGTCACCAGCTTGGCAGTGACTGTGCGGATGGCACGATATTTCCGCCCGCTGTGCACGGAGTCGCTGTGTGTCGGAATCGAGTTCTCAGAACCTAAGAACCGCATGAGTCAGAATCACAACCACAGCTCACAGCAGCAACAAAGGAAGATGGATTTTTATATTCCCCCCCCCCAGGAAACCATGGGACAGAATTGAGGGAGATGCAGGTGGGGGAGCAAGGCCAGACATGCCTCGGGGTGGTGGGGGGAGATGAGGGAGGAGATGGAGAAGCCAGGCCCTGGGGGTACTAGGGAGCCATGGGAGGAATGTGAGCAGAGGAGAGGCAGGGTCAGCTGTGTGGATTGGAAAGGTTACTCTGGCAAGAATGTGTGCAAGTGTCTACCACTCTCTCTGTCTGCCAGAACTATGGTTAAAGTTATATAAGGGGTCTACTCCTCACCTCTCACTCACCCTGGTTTGGTGAGGCAGTGCTGAAAGCCTTTGACTGCAAACCGAAAAGGGGTGTGAACCCTCTAGTAACTCCATAAATGAGGCAGTTGGTTTCCTTTAAGCTTTAACTCAACAGCTGGCGACTCAGTTCTGACTCCTAGCTGACCCTCCAGTAAGTTTGCAGAACCTGCGGATTTCAAGAGAAGAGGTTCTCTTTCCTGTGAAGCAGCTCAGGGATTCAAACTCCCAAAGAAGAGGAGCCTTTGGGTTGGCAGCACAGCTCTCTGTGGGCTGCGCCACCGGCATGTGCAGCTCTGTCCTGGGAGGCTGTTAAGAGTGAGAATCTCCTCAACACCAGCAGGTTTCTTGGAGAAGCACCTTGGACAGCTCCCTCTTCATGAGGAGGCAGGGAAGGATTCCCCTCCTGGGAATCCCTAGATGATACAAACAGTTAAGTAACTTCTAAACAAAAGCAACCCCAAAAGGGGTTTACATCCACCTGGAGGTGTCTTGGAAGAAAGGTCTGGCAATCTCCTTGCAAAATTACAGCCACTGAGGATGCCACAAAACATAATTCTATTCTGACACACATGGGGGTCACCTGTATGGTTTTCTCTCCGTGTGTGTGTGTGTGTGTGTGTGTGTGTGTGTGTGTGTGTGTGTGTATGACTTGAGTGTTTATAGAATGAATTAGATTTTCACCCAACCCTTTATACGTATTTTGTCTTATGACATTAATTACAATTGATACCTTTGCACTGTGGTGCTGGAGAAGAATATTAAATAGATCATGGACTGCTAAGAGAATAAACAGGTCCATCCTGGAGAGGGTGAAACTGGGATGCTCCCTGGAGACAAAGATTCTGAAGCTCTGTCTGATATACTTTGAACATGTTGCCATGAGGCACCAGTCCTTAGAGGGGGACATCATGCTTGAGAGGGTGGAGGGACAGCACAAGAGAGGAAGACCCTCAATGAGGTAGATTAATTTGGTGACTGGGGTAATAGGGGTGGGTGTGTTGGAGACAATGAGGTTGGCTCAAGATAGAGCTGGGTTCGGAGCCATTGTACATAGGGTCGCTACAAGTCAGAGTCAACTCCATGGCACATAACAACAAGAACACACTGTAGGAGCATGCTTCCCCCTCCCTTCCTATGGTTCCCACTTCCACTCATCTTTCTTTTCCCTTCCTGCTTGCAGAACAACTGTTTCGGACTAGTGGTTCTGAACCAGGGGCCATTATGCTGCCCTCTCCAGAGACATCTGAAATTATCTGGGGGCAACTTGGGTTGCTACAACTTAAAGGGAAGAACCGTTATTGGTATCTGTGGAGGTCATAGATGGTGTTCTGCTTCCTGCAATGCCCAGGACAGTCCCCAGCACAAAGAATAACCAAATGCTTGGTGTCTTTAGTTCCAAGACTGAGAAACTTCCATCTGATTGTCTAAGCAAGACCACAGTGGAAAGTGGCGAGTGGAATGGGAGAGAAATGTGGACAAAACAAACAAACAAAAAAATAACAACAACCAGGCTTACTGGCCCAATGGAGACTGTGAGACTCTTGGGTCTATGACTCTTAGCCTTTGAGTTTGGGCTTAAACTCTTAACCTCATGGTTCAACTTTCAGCCAAACAATAGACAGACTTATAAGGTGAATGATAACACGGAGGAACAGTAACACCAAGGAGAAAGATAGTCCTTAGAAAAGTCGACAGTATGAGATCTAAAGGCAGCATTTTCCCAGGAAGGAAGCTTAGAATCAGGAAGGGAGAAGAAAGAAGGAAGAGTGAAAGTGGGATACACAAGGAAGAAGAAGGGGGATGGTGCTGTTACTGTATGAGGTTTGTCATCAATGTCATTAAAATGTGGATGACAGATTGGCTAGAAACCTACTCTGTAAATGTTCGCTCAGATCACAGTCAAGTTTTAAAAGACTCAGAAGAAACCTGGTCTAGAATGTGTATAACCAGGAGTAAGAGAAATGTGGTGTCTGCCTTGATCATCCTAGGATCCAGTTTTGGTGTGCAACAGTAACTGCGGGTTACAGGGCTGGCCATGACATCCCCTGGGACTGTTCTTGATCTCTCATTGTCGTCAAGTTAAGACTGACTCACAGCTGACCGTGTGGCAGGTTCCCGAGACTATAAAAAGCACAGAAGGAGATTTCCCATCTCTCTCCTACAGAGGAATTGGTAGATTGGAACTGCCAGGAAAAATTAGAGACCTTGGCATAGAGTGACTTCCTGTGACATGAGGCCACCAGAGGGCCCTTTCTTTGATCTAGGCTGTACCTTTTGTGGGGCTGACTTTCTAGCTCTGTGTGTATCTGTTGGGGGTTGCTGGATGCTTGATTTTCCAGCTCTGTGTCGGTTGTTAGTTGTTATGTGTGTGACTTTGCAGCTCTGTATTTTTGTGTGTGGTTGCTGTTGTTTGTTGCATGCCTGACTTTCCAGCTCTGTGTTTTTGTGTGTGTTTGCTGTTGTTTGTTGCATGCCTGACTTTCCAGGTCTGTGCGCTTGTTGTTGATTGTTGTGTGTGTGTGTGTGTGTGTGTGTGTGTGTGTGTGTGACTTTCCAGATCTGTGGGTGTATCCATCCGTTGGTGGTGATGGTGGTTGCTGTCAGGTGATGCTGACTCAGAACAAACCTGTGTATTCAGTGCCTCTCAGGGTTTCAGGGGTTGTGGCTGTGGGGAACAGATTGCCAGGCCTTTTTTTACCCCAAGTGCCCTTGTGAGAGCTTCAAACGGCCTGGGGCCGAGGTGGTGGGCTTTGCATCTGAGAGCCAGGACAGTGTGTCCTTGAACAAGCTGTAGCTTTGTGTGTGACTTTCCAACATGAGGAGGAATAACAGCAAGGCCCCAAGGCTATTAATGTCCGTGTAATCTATGTGGATGGACAGTGTGTGTGTGTGTGTGTGTGTGTGTGTGTGTGTGTGTGTCCCTTGGCGTGTAGATTCCCCAGCTGTGCAGGTCAGCCTGACCACACAGGATATGGCCGCACGTCTCCGTGTGTGACGGCTGCATAGCCAGAAGCGATCTCTTTGTGGCCAAGCGTGACAGATATGCCTGCTTCCGGGAGGGAGCGTGTGCTGACGGACCTTCTGCCGGCTGCGTGTCTTGGCTGTGCGTGCAGTGTGGCCATGTGTGCCTGTCCCTCGAGCAGAGTTGTTGCTCTGTGTGTGTGTGTCACTGTAGGCGTGGGGCTAGTTCCTGATCTGGGGCTGGTTTTGTGCCTCTTTCCTGGGCCCTGTGTGTATGTGTCTGTGTGGATCAGAGAGAAAGAAGGTGGAGCTCTGTCAATAAGGCTGTTAGTACTTGAGCACAGCCATCCTGGACTTGGGAACTCTGGCTGGTCAAAGCTCTCGGAATCTCTTTGCCTCTAAGTCTGCCTTTCCTCTCTCCGTCTCTCTCACAGTCTGTGTGTGTCTGTATATTTTCTGTGTGTGTGTGTCTCACTCGATCCCTCTTTCACTCTATCCCTTCTCTCTGTGTCATTTCTTCCTGTGCTCCTCTGTGTTTTTTGTCTGCCTCTCTGTGTATCTGTCTCTCTCTTTACCCCTCTCTCCGTCTCTGTCTCTTTCCATCTCCAGCTCTCACCAGGGCTGTGCGTGACAGTGTCCACACAAGCCCTCTGCCTCCACCCCAGGCTTTTCAAAGTCCAGAAGTGGCCTTGCGCCGGTCGAGTACACTGTGAGAGCTGGTCTCCGAGCCCCACACCGCAGGCCTGGTGGAGCTGCTCTGGCTCTATCCCAGCCCCATCTTGAGGGGGGACTGCTGATGGACGTGAGCCCCCCTGGGAGTCGTTGGGGGCAGCACAAGCAATTAATTCATTAGATTAATTAGCTCCTCAACCCCGGGGGCAGGGCAGCCGGGTGCAGGGGCCCTGTCTCCCTGCGCAGACGTCCAAGGTCATCCGGCCTCTTCCCTCCCCGCCTGGTGCCGGGCGCCTCCGCCTCCGCCAGCCCAGCCCCCACTCCCTGGCTGTGGTCCAGCAGCCTGGCCGCTGTCCAGCGAGAGATGAATGGGCCGAGGTGGGGCAGCGAGCGTGCACGCGGCGCTGGGGTGTGGGCGGTGGGCGCTTGTGCCTGCGCGTACATGCCCTGGTGGGGTGGACATGCAAGCGTGTCCATGCAGGTATGTGAGCTGTGTGTGCAGCTGTGCGCCGGGTATAGGGACGTGTCTGTGTGTATATATGCGTGTCCCTGCATATTCTCTGACTGTGTGTGTGTGTGTGTGTGTGTGTGTGTGCGCGCGCGCGCGCACATGTCTGTGATGAGAGACAGCACAGACCTGGAATGACATGCATATGTCTTTCCTTGTGAGTTGTCTTGTCAAGATGTGTCTGCGTGTGTGTCTGGACCTGCATGCCTGGATGTGTTATGCACGTGTGTGTCTCTGTATGTCTGCACCTGAATGTCAGTCAGCACGTGTCTGTGTATGTGTGTATCTCTGTGCATATGTGTGAATACCCGTGTGTACATTGTGTGTCTATGTGTACGTGTGTGTTTGTTTGTGTACATATACGTTTATATGTGTGCACATCGGCATGTGTGTACATCTCCGTGCATATGTCTGTGTGTACATTCTATCTGTGGGCTTGTGTGCATATGTGTGTGACTGTGTAGGCATGGTATACATCTCTGTGCATCTGCTTGCTGGACTGTGTATAAATGGTTCTGTGAGTATCTATACATCCATGTGTATGTGTCCATTGAAATCTATGTGTGTACATGTGTGTCTGCACATATGTGTATGTATGTACATCATCCTAACAGAGCAAGGAAACACGGCATGGTTCAAAATTGGGAAGGGCGTACGCCAGGGATGCGTCCTATCTCCATATCTTTTCAAGCTATATGCAGAACAGATTATCTGAGAGGCTGGGCTCTATGAGCAGAAATGTAGGGTCAGGATTGGTGGAAGATTCGTCAACAATCTGTATTATGCAGGTGACACAACCCTGCTTGCTGAACCTGAGGAGGACCTGAAGCGCTTGCTGCAGAGGGTCAAGGACTGCAGCCTCCCGTACGGATTGAGGCTCAACATCAAGAAAACAAAGATTCTCACCACTGGGCCAATTGGCAGCATCAGGATGGATGGTGAAGAGATTCAGATTGTTCACAGCTTTAGTTTGCTTGGCTCCACAGTCAACACTCTCAACACCAGTAGCCAGGAAATTAACAGACGTATTGCGATGGGAAAGTCTGCTGTTAGGGACCTCTCCAAAGTACAAAAAGCAATGGTGTCTCTCTGGAGACTAAAGTGCATCTGATATAGGCCATGGCCTTTGCAATCACTTGTTATGCATCAGAGAGTTGGACAGTGACTAAGGAGGATAGAAGGAGAATTGATGCCTTTGAGCTGTGGTGCTGGAGAAGAGTATTGAATGCACCATGGACAAACAGATTCATCCTGGAAAGGGTGAAACCGGGTGGCTCCCTGGAGGCAAGGATTCTGAGGCTCCATCTAACGTACTTTGGACATGTTGTAAGGAGGGACCGGCCCTTGGAGAGGGACATCATGCTTGGGAGGGTGGAGGGACAGTGCAAGAGGGGAAGACCCTCTATGAGGTGGATTGATTCAGTGACTGGGGTAATCGGGATGGGAGTGTCAGAAACAGTGCAATTGGCACAGGACAGAGCAGAGTTTAGAGCTGGTGTACATAGGGTCGCTATGAGTCGCAAGCGACTCGACGGCACATAACTACAACAACATATGCATGTATCTGTCTCTCTGTGCACGGTTCTGTATGTAAATATGTGTATCCATGCAAATGGATATGTGTATGTACGTGTACATGTGTGTATGTGTACATGTGTGTACGTCCCTGCATATCAGGTGTGATTGTATACACATGCTTCTCTGGGTACGTATATACCCATAAACACGTGTCTGAGCACCTGTCTGTGTGCCTCTGTGTACATGTCTGCCTGTGTGTTTCTGTGCATGTATAAGCGTATGTATCTCTCTGTGAATATGTATATCCTTATGTTCATGTGAGTATGTATATATGTTTGTGCAGACGTATTTTTGTATGTGTGTACCTGTAAAGACTTGTGTGCACATGTTCCTCTGCAAAAGTATGTGTGCACCTGTGTGAACATGTTTCTGTGTGTATACAGTGCCTGTGCATATGAATATGTATATATTTGGTCCATATATATCCATGGATGTGTCTGTGTGTTTACATTTCTCTGTGCATGTGCATGTGCATGTCTGTATGATGCTAAGATGTGTGTAGCTATGCCTGTGCGGACATCTGCATACGTGTATGCCTGCATAGATATACGTATGTGTCTAAATCTGTATACCTATGTTTGCCCTATGAGTGCATTACTGTGTGTATTTCTGTGTACTCGTGTGTCTCTGTGTGTGCACCCGTGTGTTTATACATGTGTGCCTAGCTTTCTCATGCGTATGAAGTGAATGAAAATACCACAAGTTGGGTCCAGCGATCCATAGCCCTCAAAAGGGATGTCTTTGCTCTTTTTTTTATTTTATTAATTTTTTTGTGGACATACCGTCAAATCAGATCTGACTGGTACAGGAGGAGATTGCCCTTCCTTCTCCAGCAGAGCATCTGGTGGATTTGATCTGTGCGCCTCTGGGATTGCAGTGCAACTTCCTCCCACTAGGCCACCAGACCTCCGTCGTCTTTGCTCTTTAATATTTTAAAGACATCCTTTGCAACAGTTGTCAGGATGGGCGGGGTGGGGGGTGTTCTGCTGTGCATCGGGTCCCTGTAAGTCAGTGCACATTTGTGTGCATGTGTGTTCGGGTACAGGGCGTTGGCTGTTGACGGTGGGATTATTGTCCCTCGTGGGAGCCTGCCTACCAGAGCAGGATAGTGTGGGTCTGCAGAAGGAGCCGTGTAACGTGCATTAGGCGTGTCTGCCCTGGGTATGACCACCAAAGCGCCACCTCTGAAGACCTCCGTGGGCATGCGTGGCACGGCATGTGTCCCCACACCCGCATGCGATCTCTATGATGTGCCCCCACCCCTTCCACAGGGCTGCTGTCACAGAGCCTTGAGTTCAACTCTCCTGCCGACAACTACACCGTGTGTGAAGGGGACAATGCCACCCTCAGGTACTCCCACCTGGGACGTGGGTTGGGCAGCATGGCTTTCTGACACTATTAAAGCGGTCCAAGGGTGGGGGGCTGGCTCACACAGAGGGTTTGACACATCCCATCAGGAGACAGGTGCTAGGGTGACTCTGAACCCAGCTGTACCCCTGGGCCTCAGTGTCCCCTGCTGTCCAGAGAGTGGAGGGGACACAGCCATCTCTGCTGTGAAGAGTCACAAGTTTGTGTACGAGTGCCCAAAGGGTGTGCCCCAGAGTACTATTCACCATGTAAGGGTTAGCTTTATTATTTACCCCCCAGATTCCTGCATCTTTTCCCTCTCTCTGCGTCTCTGTTGTCCCCACACACACACCCTGCTCCCCGATTCTCTCTCCTCCTCTCTATCTGGATCTCTGTCCCCCTCTCCTTCTGAGTCTCTGGCAAACAGTGATTCAATAACCACCAACTCTTATTATATTGTGATACCGGAGACACAGCTTGCCCTCTCTGAGAAATCAGCTCACCCACGCCCTCAAAAGGGCACAGGAATATCTGCTCCCTAAGGCAGCAGGGGAAATCGCAGATGCCGAGTGCTTCCACCCACCCTAGCCCACCACAGACCAGGGAACTGGAGGGTCAGCTCCCAAGCGATGGTGATGAGAGAGACCCTTCCTCTCTCCTCTTCCGGGGCAGCTGCTTCATCGACGAGCATGTGACCCGCGTGGCCTGGCTGAACCGCTCCAACATCCTGTACGCGGGCAACGACCGCTGGACCAGTGACCCGCGGGTGCGGCTTCTCATCAACACGCCGGAGGAGTTCTCCATCCTCATAACCCAGGTGGGGCTCGGCGACGAGGGCCTGTACACCTGCTCCTTCCAGACCCGCCACCAGCCGTACACCACTCAGGTCTACCTCATCGTGCACGGTGAGTGCCTGGCTGGGCGCTGCGCAGAGGGGGGCGCATGCTTACACACCAGCATACCCTTGACCCCCCCGAGGAGGAGGGGCTGGACTCAGGACCCCGGGGTGTGGAGTAGGAGAGGGGGGGGGGGTCTGGACTCTTGGGTATGAGAGAGGAAGGGATTGAGGAGGGGACTTCCCAGTCTGAGGGTGGAAGGGGCTAAGGGTGAGTCCCCTCAGGTCTGAGGCTGGAGGGGCTGGGGGGCCAGGACTCTTGTCTGAGGGAGAAGATGGAAGTCTAACTCCTGTGTGAGCAGGAGGTGGGGGTG